TGATTAATACGCAATTGTTTTCATTGTTCCATCTCGCTGTTAATAGGTACATTACCGCACCATCCAAGTGAAAAGCAAGTTCGGGACGCTGCCGAGAAACCAGAAAAGGTAGGAATGCGTTTTTGGTGTCAAAACACGCGCAACAGGTAAACGACAATGGATGTTTCATAGGCCCATGAAACTTGGGTGCAATTGCACAACATGCCACAGAATTTTTTCTAAAAAAATAGTCCGAGGAAGAGGAGGGGTCACATCGATATCTTCCCCGTATCAGGGTGGAGGTTAAAGAGAGGCATCGCTGTCCTCGTGATTTCGATTATTTTTCGTAAACATGAAACGGTTCACCAACAATTTGATAACTCATATTTGCTATGCCTTTATTTTAGGCAAAGTAAAAAGCAAACTAGTGTAAGCGTATAAGCAACCATACCTTTGCGTAAAATTTACCTTGGCGCGTCGGTTGTGCGCGTGGTTAGTAAATGACGCAAGCGCGTATTGTGAACAGATTGAAGTGTGTGTGCCATTTGCAGTGCGGTGCTGCAACCAGAGCACGTCACGGATCGAGGTCTTAGAATCCGGACCTGTTCTGTTTGGCTTTTTAAAAGCCATTCCTTCCGCTAAAACGGCGTTTTCAAATTTTTTAATCAATGCCGGGCCTTGCCGGATTGCGATCCGGTTCGGACCGGCCTAACAAGCACATTCTTTTTAAAAAATCCATAGCAACTCACATTCATGCTTTTACTTACCATCATAGCCATACCAATATAGCATATATCAGCGTATTTACTTGTTACTATTTAGCAAAGTCCATGTAGGAGTTTTGACTGAATACAAAAATCAGCGTTCAATAAGGAAGATTGAAATACTTTGTCTGGCTGCAAGAATCAATAGCTACCAATAGATAGGCTTCATTACGGACCTGACTCGCATGAAAGTATATCTCAGCATACGTCTTGGATGCAAACCAAACATTACCACGCATTCTGTGCGCATTGTTAAGACCCAAAAATTACCAAGCACAGCATAGGCTTAGTGTAAAGAAAATTGATGTTTGGACTAAATGGAACAGCATCGGACAGATAGCAATGCTCTTGCTTTCAGCATTACTAATTGAACTAAAGCTAGTTATTTAAATATATTGGTGGCATTTTTAATACATCGAGGTAACTAAAGAATTCAGGAGAAAATTGCATGCGTAAACATTTAGTCTACTCCTTAAACATAACGCAACTTCACAGAACTGACATGACAGAGCCTCAGTCAGTCACTGACTGACTGAGGGTGTGGGCTCATTCACAATTTGCACGTCATACCTTGCTTCCTGTTCACTAAGGTGCTGCAAGTTTTTCAAAACATGGGAACTGGCGACATCTGCCTCCCTTCTCCCTCCCTTCTCTGACCCTGAAAATGAAGGCATATAGAGTGGGCAGGTGGGTATCTTAAATGTGCTGGGTATTCCACAGCACCCTTTTAGACGCAATGCGTATGTCCAGATGTAAGCCCAAGTCATGAACCCCAGTGTCCGTTCCGTCTGATCAACCCAGCAGAATAAATGAGCGAAATCGTGATCCCTACCCCAATTAGATAGATACATGAATTCCGAATCGTAGCACCCAAATGGTTTTCGCGGTCTAACAGGCAGGCACAAGCAAGGCTAGAAACAAGGCGATGCCAGAATCATGCCATTTCAGTGCATTGGATATTGAAGCAACTGCGACACTTTTGAACTCTGATGTACTACCAGATTTTTTCCCTTCTGTCAGTGAGCATATCCGAGAAGCTGGTAGATATGTGTGCACCTGAAGCGATTTAACATATCTTATTTAGCATATTTTTGCACAAGTGTTTTTTTTTCTTTGGTGCAATATGCGTTACTACTGAATGTAATACAATGAAAGCTCTTCGACGAAAACAGTTGGATATGTGCTGCGTGCATGCCATCCTGAATAGTTTTGCAATGCTGGAAGACAGTAAAGAACAAATAAGAGAGCTGCAGTGGCATCAAACCTTGAGGCGAGGAATCTGAAATCATCGCGACCTCAACAAGCATAAAATTGCCTGTTGATGCGCTCAATTTATACCGTTTCAACGGCGTCATATGGTTCGCACAAGACAGACTCATTCTTAGCCCGCGGCATTAGCCGATCAAACACTTATGACTGCTGTCAGAATTTTCAGACAGTTTTCGCAACATCTATTGTTGGGTAGGCTGACGGGATGAGACGATTTAAAAACATGGGTGATCCATCGCAATACAGACATAGCTAATTACACAATATAGATATCGCACCATTCAGTAATACTTCACGGAACGCACAAAAATCGGGGTGGTGGGAGACGGTTCGTAGGTATTCCGGGATCGTTGGGCTTTAAGACAACGCGCCATATAAATATTTTGTGCATTTGGTGCCGCAATCAAAGGTTGGCTCGTCTGTTTCGGTGTGATATGCCTTTGGAAACTGCGACAGTGTATTACATTCTCACTTCTCTGTAGCTTAGCAGAGATGGTCGTCAAGGGCTTCGGCAAACACAAGATGTTATCGTTATGTTATAACTTATCGTTATGCTATGTGGTATGTTGTAACTTTTACGTTGTCTTCAGTTCTAAGCTGGGAAAAGCTGGCTTGCATTTCTTTTTTCGTCATGAATCTCTTAGTAAGTACCCGATGAAAGTGAGCAAGCAACATCAAACATAAAAATACTTCACCAGTTTCAGTTCAGTCCTTAAAGGGAATATTCCTCATCTGAAGACACTAAAGCAAACATGAGATATAATGAAAAAGCTCGCTTATAACTATTGGAACACTCTAAAGCGGAAAAAATGTTCTAGACAACACGGTTTCTCCTCGTAGTAAATATGCTACTCAAGATCTCATTGCTTCCACGCTTCATCGTACCTTGCACAACACTGATTGAGAACCAATTGATGGCCGTTATATCTGGAAATCGTGCTCACGAACGCCTGATACGAGTGAACCGGCAGTTATGTTTTCTTAGCCTTGATCACCGCATGGTGAATGGAATGGCAGGATTTGAATGACGTTATTATTGCGTCACGGATGCCTGGGCGACCTTGATGCAGTCTTCCCGAACAAATATGCACATCTTCGCGGGCCTATAGCGCAAAAACTAGGCGTTTAGGTTAGAATAAAGGCAGGAATGTGAACTGCACTGAATGATATTGAAGGTGGCTATTTCAGTTCAACACCCCATACAGTCGTGGATTGTTCTCTTTAAAGCATTATGTGTGGCTTAGTGGCTTTGACAATAGAGCACAACAAAATTATAAAATGGGTGCAGACATTTGGCCTTTTTTGCAACACGAAGTCAAACTTTCATCACGAATGTATATCATGCCATGCTGCCTATTTTTGCCTAAGCATCTTGGTAGTAGTATGAACATACATGCTGTTTTCACTGTGTTTGAAGTGCATTTCTAGCGATACCTAGCGATGACATTGATGCATGAGTGGTAGATAATGACTTTGTATCCACCTCTCAAACTATTGCCATTAATTAATGGCCACTTGTGGAATAACCCACTCATTAACACGTTTAGCTCATTAATCTACAGTACCTTTCTATCGCCCATAACTGAATTCTACATATTTGCAAGATTGAAAGCTCTTTCACTCAATTGTTGCAACGAGTGTTGCCAATTCAGTTAATGCCTTGAAAAATTGAAGCATTTTCAATCCGGTAAATTTGTATGACCTGGCAAGTTGTAAAATTCGGTCCGTTTCTATTCTGCCCAAATCCTCTGATACGGTCCAATCTGTCTTCCCGATCGATCCGCCACCCGCGCCTTGATGTAATCCGTGAGATGTTCAAGCCGAGGCATAGTCTGGTCGTTGTGTGATCAGGTACGTGACATTTGATAGGCGTGTGAGATCTCTGGATAGCTCAGTCAATCACGCTTGTAGCAAAACCTGGGTTTGTGATCGAGAAAAATGTCGAAAAGCGAGTAAGCATTAGTCTATCATGGCTTGTTGAATAAACCGAACACCTGCAATTATATTTTCAGAAGACTGCCCGATATAATGTTCAATCAGCATCACACGATATACCAAAGGCCGTTTGTTTTTATCATACCGCCAATGATGCAGCAAGCATGACGCACGAGAAATTACATCAAAATAAAATAAGATTCACAAGTGTGAAACTTTTTCACTGATAACGGCCCCACGGCTGAAACAGCTACATAAGTCACATGCATCGTGAATGACAGACTATTGCGGCTGCAGCAGACTTTTTGGCAACGTTTTAAGTGTGGAATCGGGGGACAGCTCTTTCACGTCTGTATCATTTCACGTGTTTGCTTGAAGCATGTGCTCAACGACAGAAATTGTCTCTTGCCGTGTGGGTGAAACAAAGAGATTCGTCATCAGACGGCTCGAAAAGCACAATGTTGCCGCCAAAAATATATTTGGCGACACGCCACTCGCAAATCATAGTACATCCCAGTGAACTACTGCTGTTACTAAACATTTCATAATGAATGCAGTGATTTTTTTTTTTGATTTTTTTTGCTTGAGGTCTTTCAACCATTGCCTTGCGTTACGTTGAA